AATTTTGTGAATATATCATTATATATATACGGAAACGTAGTTAGGTACAATATTTTTTCCTTAAAAAATTACTTGAGTACAAAAATTATATTTTGCTTTTCAATTTCAAAATATATTAATATCTTTCAACATTACGATTAATACAAAGGCATTTTACATTCGTAAACAAAGACGTTTTTTACAAAAGGATAGCAAAAAAACTTCATTCTATTGAACGATTTCGTTCATTCGTTCTTTCCCAAGTAGATTTGAAATCATTCATTAGTGCTCATAAATATTATTTGTTCCATCTTGAACTAGCCGTAATTAAAATAATTTCACGGAATGATGAATTATTATGGTCATTTTCATGATATGTCAAAATCAGGTTTAGCTTGTCAAGATAGATGTCGAAAAAATATAGATGTAAATGAAAAAACTGAATGTTTTGTTGAAATCTATTTAAATCTACATGTATGCGTGAATTTTAAATTAATTAATAAAAATTATTATAATTACATAATAATACAATATATAATAATAATTAAAGTGAACAAGAAACTCAATTTGATTAACATAGAGCCGACAAAAATATTTTATGTTTTAAAAAGTAAAATACAGAATAAAAAAACACTGACATAATAATAAAACAAAATATATTTTTAGCGGCTCTCTCAACGAAATAAGCACCTCGGGGTAATTTTCAAAAGACTAATTGATAATATCCAATAACACTTAATCTAGCACTGTACACCTAACCGTCGCGGTGAACCTAACGGGTAACCGGGGCTCCGGCTCGACGTGCAGGAGAAGGAACGGAGTGGGTCAATGGGCGACGCCGATTACTTACCATCAGGTGATCCGTCTGCTCGTTTACCGGCTTATTCCATAAAAAAACCGTGCAGTGATAGACTGGAATACATCTGTGACCATCCTTGCTTCTCGCGCGAATCAATAAAGCCGACTAAGGGACTACACATTTGACAGACACCGGGCTGAAGCGCTCTCTGATAAAGTTGATTCTGATAAATGAACCTTCTTAACTGTCATATCCCACCGCCTACCAAATGTGGACATTATGGAGAACTCTCTTATGTAGAGGTGGCCTGTAGTTCAAATAGGGACTGTCACAAGTCGTTAACATTAACTGTTAGATATAAAAAGTGTACAAGAGCCTTTAACTGCTAATTCTCACCAGAAAAGGGAACAGACATCACCACGAGCTCAAAGCAGATTGCAGAAGTTTATTGGATATTAAAATCGTCTATAAAATCAACAAATACAAAATAATTCGACTAAATACGACTAATGACTAGAAAACTTGACTATTCGCAGTTACATTATCAAACATATTACACTTACATACAATAACAATTACAATTTTAAATAACCAAACCAAATGAAATACATTTAAAATGAAATATAATAATTTACTAAAGTTTCTTGTTTCATTTTAAAATTGTAAATGTTATTTTAAGCCGTCCCGTTTCGCAAAACGCGACCAAAAGGCATTATTCAAAATTTTTACAAAAGCATTTTTGACATAGTTTATTTTATATATTATATATGTATATACTATACAATTACCTATCTACATACTATATCAAGGAATGTATGATATACGTAAGTAAAGCATGAAGATTAGATGTCGAAAATTAAAGTTGAATAACAGAATACAATTTTAAAATGTGTACAAAAATAATATTCGAGTAATTAGAGGGACAACGAGTTCTAAGTTCTAATATATAAAAATTATAATTTCACGGAATGTACAACAAAAATATTAAACGACTTGCTAAAACAGAATGAGGGAAAAACAATATCAAATCAAATGAAGTATTGACAAACTGGTATTTCACACTTAATATTTGTTTTTCAGATGCTTATACATGTGTACGATTGTTAGACCAATTTCGTTTATCAAAATTACTGTGCGTTTGATTTAGGTATCCTCGTCCGACAATCATAACATGATTCAAGTGAAAAAATAACTAATCCTATACATTTAACATTTACATAACAAAAAAATAATAATACGAGCTGTTGTTTTAAAGCCGCGTCATTTTTCTGAAATTACGGAAATCCGTAAGTCCGAACTACACGCCGCCGTCTTGTAACTAGCTTTATAACACGGCTTAACACAGACAAACTCAAACACGTAATTGATATTATTCCTCATTCCTTAAAACTCCAATAAGAAACATTGCTGTCACTTATCCTGTAATACTGTCAAACTTAAATGATTTATTATAGCCGTATTTTTAACTATTGGCCCGAAATTTTCTCTTATGAACGTTTATGACTTCTGTGACATGCCCCGAGAAATGACACGGTTTTAAAACTACACCTTGTATAACAATAATATTACAAACAAAACCGAAATATAGACAATACAATATAAAATCATTTGTTAATTCATTCTCGCTCTATAGATGAAAAGGTACCGTCCATTTTTTATAGCCGTGCAAAATATCGTTCAACTTCCGCATCTACTGTTAAAATTGACATTAGTCCTATTATAATAACGCATATTTTCGAATGAAAAAAAATATATACAGATATATATATATTTCTTATTTTTAAGACTCTGTATATATGATACTAGATTGGAACGGAGCAACAGCTTATGCTAGTCTAGACATGCATGATATGAACATGCATATAAGGACATTTTAAAAAATAACCGTCACTCATATCGCTAACAATAGGGTAGTTCCTAAATTATTTATTTTAATGTCCGTTTGGTATATTATTTTAAAACATTAGACACGTATTTTTTCTTTTCTCACAAAATTATATGCTTTTGACGATATATTGATTTGAAATTTTGCGTGACGTCACAGCGTGCTACGAAATGTACCACATTATGACGTAACTACCTCCTAAACTTTAAATTAAACGCCATTTTATTTAAGTATTGTAACTTTATACGAGAAAAAAAAAAATTATCTAACTGACGGACTAATTTGATTTTGAATGAATTTTCTTACCCTGGAAACTACCCTATTATTTGAATCTTGGTGATGCACTACCGTGCACCCAAATAGATATATAATACAATATTTTGCACGATACAGAATGTTTTGATTACTGACAATGAACACAGCGTATTACAAAATATTATATAGATATATTTATAGATTAGAAAACGAACTACTTAGAGGTATATCGCCCAATGTTAAACTTCATTTAAATCGAAATAATATGTTTTATTAAATGAAATGAAATGAAAAATTGTATTTTTTTGGATAATATAAAAAGGAAAATTATGTATATGGGCGATACAATAAAGTGCAAGTCTATAGATATACTATATCTACTCATAGTGTAAGCGTCTTCCTGGCAGTAGGTAAGGAGTAATAAACATATATATATATATTAACATACGTCTTTTTGCAAAAATACAACGTACAATTTTATGCCTTAAACTAACGTAGCGTTAAATCTCAGTACACAGGGGTAGCGTTCTCAATATCATTTTAATACGTATATGGCCGGTTTCATTTATTTTTTATATAAGTTTTTTTTTTCATTTATTTTTAATTAAAATTAACACATACTTTAAGCTTACTAAAATACAGCTATGTGTATGTATACTTATAAAAACAGATTTTTTTGCTACATTTTTTTTCAATCAGCTATTTTTTTATATTTGTAACAATTCTTCATTTTTTTTATTTGGATTTGTTACTGTATATCTCACATGTACTTTTATAGGACAGTCGAAATAATGCAACTATTTCATTTAAAATAAATTAATTATAAATGCATTATATCGGCTATCCGAGCCTGGTGTAGGTTAAAAATATTTTTCGTTTCATGTTTTTTCAATAATAAAAAACAAACTTAACTAACCACATTCACTCACTCGTAAATACTTAATTACAATTAAAATTTTAATATTTATATATTATACACGGATCATATTTATTATTTAATACACATTAAACAAAAAATATTTTTTGTAATCACCATTTTTTGAGATCGACATTTTGTTTGGGAGTATGGCAAATTTTTTAATGTTTTTTTTTCGCAAACATGGTGTCAATTAGGAAGCTTTTGTGTTATTATCTATATTTTTTTTTATTTTAATTTGGAAGTACGTTCGGTCGGTCGTATCCAAAACAAATAGTTTCTTAGCCTGAACCAAACTTTGTGCACGTTTCCAAAAGTTCTGCCTTCAAAGAAAAATAGAAAATGAATTATTTTTTCGATCATTTAATTTCGTTTACATTTTAAATCAAATAATTTGTTAGTACTAACAACTTGTACTTAGCTATTTTGTTTATTTCACTAAAAATGATGAGCCAAGTTGTATTTTGTGTGAAAATATTTAAGTTTTTCTATAACCTTTGAAGACAGAACTATACTCTCCTCGGACCAGCATATCACTTCATGTTAACATAAAATTATCACTTTATAAACTCGACCATAAATACTAAACCATATTGGTGATTATCCCTTGCATATCATGGAAGTTGGTAGTTGAATCTTAGAGATGCTACAGTTTAAGTAGGAAAACATGGCTTAGAATTGTATGGTCGACTTTACATATTTTATAATTCATATTGAATTAGACCAAAAGACCAATAGTAACGATTGGAACAGTACCTATGTCGTAATAAAAATGTTTAGGCCTATTGGGTAATATCTACTCGGCTTAAATCCATAACAAATAGTCTTTGCTGAAATTAAAGTCAAGCGTCACGCGATATGCGACTTTATGTATTTCAAAAAATATTTTACTTTAAGAAAATTTTATTAAAAAAAAAACTCTTGAGTCTCATTCAAAATGAAATATAATTTAATGATAATTTTCGTGACATTCTGTTAAAGTTCGAAATATGTGATAGGGAATGAAAAAGATACAAAAAAATAACTATTCGACACAAAAAATTTAAAAAAGATTGAATTTTAAATTGGCTGCAACGATATTTGAGATAAATTACATAATGATTATCACATAAACGAAATCAAATAAATTATACAAAATGTTATTAAATATTCCAACAAATCGCGACTTAATAATGTATTTTTTTTATGTTAGTAATGAATACAGCATTAACATTTTTATTCGTCAGTTTTTCAATGCACGTAATTGTAGATTTACTTAAGAAATTCGTTTTAGTTCACTCATTCGTTCTTTTCAGTGAGTGAATGATTTCGACGTGTTTACTGTTGTCACTTTTTTAAGGCTGTCCGTAGTTTACTCTTATATTTTATTAGCTGCAATATTGATATTATTTTTGCTTCTATTTTAAGCAACAAAGAACTAGTAAAATTACTTACAGCTGGAACTTCTTGTTTAACATTTTTGATCGGAAATCTATTTGATTAACGGCTAAGCCCAGTTCTTTTTTATTTAGCTTGCAATTTTAGCAAAAAATATCTCTTCGACCGTTCTTACGTCACTTTAGCGCCTCTAATCTCGTTTTTAGCTCAACTGCCAAGCTTAACCTCAAAAGGTCAAATTTAACCCATTTCATTGAATTATTTTTCATGCCCCATCACATATTGCCAAAACTTGCTTAGTCTAGTCTCACGCAATCGACGTAGTAGGCGGTGCGACATCCCTGTCGCGTTGCAACAAGTCGCGACGATTGTCGCGCAAAGAATTGTTGCGTCGCAACTCATCCTTGATGGAGTTCTCTCTGGAGTCGAGGCCGCGTCGTGGGGACGATGTCGCCTCGCGACATTCGGAGGAGGAACGTTTTGTATGGGTGCCTGAGGAGAGAAGGTAGTACTTATTACATACATGGTTTATATGGGCAGTGAAGTACTGTTTCATTAAGTGTTTGAGGATTGTAATTTATAATTTTATCGATTTTATACGCTTTCAAACTATTCTGACTAAGATAAAAATTGTAAATTGTTTATTAATCATGCTTATATATCAGTGAAAAGATTAAGTAAATTAATATGAAAATAAAAAAAAATGCACTGAATCTAATATCTTACGTGCACTCAAAAAACCCTTCATGATTGTGCATTAAAATTCAAACTCATAACGCTCTTTATGTACTTATTTCAATTTTATTTTTAAGAATTGTTCATTAATTACACGTCCATTATAAAATGATACCTATTCTCTCACCTGGCAGGTCTCGGCCGCAGCTCATAATCTCGTGGTCGAGGGAGGCGGAGGCTGGGTCCTGTCCACGGCGCCCTCGCCCTCCCTGCTGGGAGTACACGCCTTGTTACTTGCCTTATACTGAGCCATACTCGATACGACCAACACAACTGCATTTATCAAATCATTCACTCATCAAGTCATTCACTCATCAAGTCATTCACTCATCAAGTCATTCAATCATCAAGTCATTCACACAAAAAGTCATTCACTTATCAAGTCATTCACTCATCAAGTCTGTCACTTATCAGAACGTACTACAACATTCTACATTATTCAAGCTTTGCTAGTACGCAATCAATGAGTCACATTACACGTCACAAGCAGCAAGACAAGTCATTCATTCATTCTCACATATCCAAATAACTGTACAACTTGTCATTGAATGAGTAAGTCATTCACTCATCAGGTCATTCTCACAATAAGTATGTAAATCATTAATTCATAATTGGCCCATTGTTAAAACTTTGTTTAAAATATTGATAATTAGTTAATAGCATTTTTATTCAATATTGTTAAAAAGAAAAATAATATAGTAAGGCTAAGGACTCAGGGTGCGATTTTTTCCCACGCCCGCCGCGGCGGCGGAATGGAGGCGGCATTTGTAAATCGCGTTAAAATAAAATGAATGTAACTTCTTACCGCACTAGAGGATTTTGTCATATGTATCATAGAAGATAAGGAACCTCTGCATCTCATTTTAAATGAACAATGTATCTGTTCTTATGAGAAATAAATTCTTTAAACCCAAATTTACCCCAAGCTAAGGCTTATTATCGCAGAGATATTTATGATATCCGCGGGACGAGTGAGGTTGGTGACAAATGATTGCTATTCTTCCAGCAGATCTAAGACCCTAATATGCGTCGCGGAGAACCTAACGGGTAACCGGGGCTCCGGCTCGACGTGCAGGAGAAGGAACGGGGTGGTTTTTAGTCAGTAAGAGTCTGACACTCCCTCCCACCTCACCCATGCGGGAGCAGTCATTCGATGATTTTCCCCCTTAAAAAAACCCCAATTTCAAAAACTTACGAGACCGCAATTTTCTGCTCCCTCATAAACTTGGTGTCTCTCATAAACTTGGCGGTTGATAATCGCAAGACGGGTGGGTGGTTAAATAATCAGTTGAGTTCCAGACCGGCCGTTCCATTGCGGTCGCCCGCCAATCAATCGCAGAGCGCGCGGGTGGTACGAGACCGCGGCGGCACCCGCCAGTGCAGCGGGAGCCGCAAACAATCGCAACCGCCGCGATCGTAAAACGCGCCGTGAAATTTTCTTTCACTTAGATATCTATATTCTACAAAATCCCGAAACCACGTCGGGCGCGGGTCCTTAGCCTAAAGCTCAATCTAATTTATCGTAAAACTGCGTTACTAAGAACAAAATTCAAGAACAGCTGAACTAATTCGACTAATTTGTTTGCAATATCTAAAATTACATGACCACAACTTGACAAGTCAGTAGTAGTTAATTTAATGACTACATATACAGAAATATGCACATTATAATTATATTATTTAGTTCATTCACTCTAAATCTACTCTCCTGTCCTGCTAAATGCTAATAAAATCTACCTACAATATTTATAATTGCTTTATATAATCAAAGTATAAATATTTACTTTGTATCCGCTGGACCCGCTTGTGACCGACGAACTCGACCCCAGCGGATGTGTGCCGTTCTGAAAAGGTAAAAATAAAATAATATTATAACATCACGCCTTGTATCCGAAGTGACACCCATTATTCACTATTTATTTTATGAGGCGCATGTAATGAGGGGTGAGCCTATTATCATATACTGGGTACAATTCCAGATTCCGTGCTACTACTGAGAATAAAAAAAAAACAGTAATACTTTGCCCGACCCGGGAATCGAACCTAAGTCCCCTGGCGCGGCAGTCGCACTAGCGACCACTCGGTCAACGGTTAAAAATAAAATAACTTGTGATTTAACATGTTAAAAGCCATAAAGGGGCCAACGCTAGTAGAAAATTTGTCTGCAGTTTGTCTTTAACCAATTCTTCAGATTCAGTTCCAATTCTGTGAATGGAAAACTGAACACCCTAAACAAGCACCAGTCTGACATGTAGATTAGGTCTGAGCGTTGTGTTGTACGGTCTCTTTTTGTGCCTTTAAGTTAAATTCGTTCTGTCTCCTGCAGCAATTCACTGAGAGAAGTGGAAACTATAGATTTTCTTCTAGTCTTATCTTCTGATCAATTTCGTCGCGGAAACCAAGACAGTTATTCATGTCCCTGGGACGCGGACTTCAGTGTTCTGGTGTTTTCATGGTTGCATCTATTGTAGACCCTGGCTTATAAGAGTTGCAGCGGTTTTGGGAGGTTGTGGTGGGCTTGTCCCAACAAAAGAAAAAACCAAATCCAAGAAATTCCAAATCTATCTGTACAGTCTTCAACGGTACATAGATATTTTGCTGACATTAAGATCGGTACGATCGCGCGATATTGCTTAGGTATATAATCACATGTCAAGTAATTATCGAGCAGAGTGTGTTATTACTAATAACGAAGTAAACACCTAATGAGAAAGGAATTGCCAACTGTGCTATACTGTACCACACTTGGGTGCAATAAACTTTATAGTTACATTATCCGAGTGATCTTTTCTCTGCACACTCCAACATCAACTACAAGTGTACGAACTGTACATTTTTTGGTCCTTCGAGCCGGATTTCTTGGTGCATTGTTGAGCTTTTAAACGGGTGCGAATCGGAGCAGCTGGCCTCTCAGAAGCGAGAATCCACAGTTGTTTTGAGAAGGCGCACATCCCGTATCTAAGGCGGCAAGGCACTGGGTTTTCCAACGACCATTCCAAGTCGAAGAAGAAAACTTATTCAAGGTTTGGAACTGGGAAGACTAGACTCAACTGAGCAGTCTTCGTGTCGTCGAACGCAACGCTCAGCTGTCGCCGTCAACTACGCGACTACGAGCAAATTAACAAGTGACCACTGGAAGAAAGCTGCAACTGCGGTACGTACTCCGGTCGTCATAACTTACGTGCGTCGGTCACCGTCAACTACGAATTTCGACCCAACTAACTACAAGCATCGTCATGGAGAATCTGGAACTGCAGTCGACATGTTTCGAAAACATCAAGTCCTTGTGTGTCAACTATCGCAAGGACTCAGCATCCCGTAAAACATTGGACTATCTAAACAAACGCTTAGCTTCGCTGGAAAACCAATGGAAGGATTTTGACAGCCGACATACTCAACTGGTACGGACCCTAGAGGACAAAACTATTAACTATTTCACTGATAACATCTACGAAAAAACTGAGGAGATGTATCTTAAGACTAAAGCGGATATCATTGAAAAACTGTCCAACTGGACAGAACTACAACAAAAGGTACAGTTTAATCTTACTGGAACGGCAGTAGATAGCGACGTCCAAGCTAGTAGCGATGACAAGATTCAACTTCTTATTAACAAGCAAGCTTGTCACTTTAACGCGATCAACAGTGTCATAGCGAAGATTAACAGCGGAACAATTGCTGAAAAATGGGAACTAGATGATCATTTAACTACGCTAAAAGCAAAATGGGACCCCATCGACAAACTGCATTGGGAAATTGACTTTGAACTAAAAGGATCCAATCAGGACTACTACAAGATCTACAAGGATGTCGAACAAAAATATGACGAAACAAAGAAACGTCTTAACTCCAAAATATGGTCAACGGACCACTACTCAAAATCAGCTCCTAAGATGGCAATCCCGGAATTTTCAGGAAGCTACAGTCAGTGGATCTCTTTCAAAGATCTATTCATAGAAGCTATCCACAAGAACCCTGTGATTAATAACGCACAGAAAATGCAACATCTCAAAACGAAGTTGCGAGGTGAAGCGGAGCGATTGGTGCAACATCTGTCCATTAGCGCTGATAACTACAACTCCTGCTGGGAAATCCTGAATCAACGTTACGATAATCGTCGTCTACAATTCACCTCGTTTATGAATACTATGCTTGATCTTCCGGTCATACAGAACCCGGACGCTATCAACTTGAAACGTATGCACGATGTGATTACTGAATGCTTAAACGGAATCTCAAACATCGGAGTAGAAACAGCATCATGGGATCCAATGATAGTACATGTCATGTCACAAAAACTGGACTCCCATACATTAAGTGAGTACATGAAGGAAATACGAGATCATCGGGAAATTCAAAACCTACCAGATTTTTTGTACTTTTTAGAGACCCGTTTTATGGCCTACGAAACAATGAAGTCCACAAAGAAAGGTCCAACTACGTCATCAGAAAAATCATTAAACTGGAAATTGAACAAGCAAAACCGTATAAAGAAACCTAACTATCTGTATAACAAACCAGGCAACTTTTACGCCACGAAACAAAAATGCCCACATTGCAATGGAAGTCACGTTTTAATGCAATGTGACAAATTCCTTGGAATGGACATTAGCACCCGAAATAACACTGTTTCGAAACTGCAGCTTTGCAAAAACTGTTTGTATAGCCATGGAAATGAAGAATGCAAGTCGACAAAAAATTGCAGAGAATGCAATCTGAAACATCATACGCTATTGCACACTCCTGATAAGAAAAATACAGTTGCATCAAACAGAAAAATTAACTATGAACGAGCATCATCATCATCAACGCAACAACATACCTCTAATCATGTGAACACAGATGACCTGGAAGTACTATTAACTACAGTTCAGCTTAAAGTCCAATCAATAGATGGAACTTATGTGAAACTACGGGCACTGCTCGATCAAGGTTCTCAAGTGAACCTAATCACTGAAAACGCAGCTCAACTTCTACGACTTCCCCGATCAAACATTAACGCCTGCATTACCGGTATCGGAACGGTATCTGGGGATTGCAGGGGACAATTGAACCTCACCTGTAAATCGATTCACTCCGATTACTGTTTTACAACGCAAGCGCTAATTATGAAGAAACTTACACATAACTTGCCTACTACATCGTTTGAAAAGGTCGAATGGCCACACTTAGAGAATTTAAAGCTCGCAGACCCTGATTACAACATATCTAGCCAAATTGATCTTCTACTAGGAGCCGACGTATACTCGGAGATCATACTAGATGGCGTCATGAAAGGGAAGAACCAAACACCCGTAGCACAGCAAACGCTAATAGGGTGGATTTTATGCGGAAAAATGAAAACGTTCAACTGCAATGTAGCATTAATCAACATGAATGAACTAACAAAATTTTGGGATAATGAAAACATCCAACTCTCTGAGGACATTTCCAAGGACGACCAGTGTGAGAAATTCTACACTGAGACTGTTACACGTGCGCAGGATGGAACATACACGGTTAAAATGCCACTTTGTGACGACTTTGAGAAAAAGCTAGGAAACTCTAGATCAACGGCTGTATCACAATTTCTACAACTAGAGAAACGCCTGAAAAAGAACCCCAAACTTTCAGCTATGTACGAGCAATTCATTGAGGAATACATTGCACTCGGTCATATGAAACTATCGCCCCATGCCACACCAAACAGCTGTTATTTACCGCATCACGGCGTTTTGCGAGAAAACTCAACAACAACAAAACTGAGAGTGGTATTTAACGCGTCGCAACGTACTACGAGCGGCTACAGCCTAAACAGCCTAATGGAAAAAGGAGCCAACCTGCAACAGGACATACAGGCTCTTATCCTAAAATGGCGAACGTATAAATACGTTTTCACTGCTGACATCGAAAAGATGTACCGCTGTATTTGGTTGTCTGAAGAACAACAGGAGTTGCAAAAGATCATCTGGCGAGGTACACCCGATGAAGCTTTACGTGACTATCAGCTTTGCACAGTCACGTACGGAACAAAGTGTGCACCATGGCTCGCCATGCGCACCTTGAAACAAATTGCCATGGATGACGGGCATAAGTACCCAGAAGCTGCCAAAATACTTCAAACGGAATGTTATGTCGATGACGTCATAAGTGGACACAACTGCGTTAGGAAAGCTCAACAATTACAATTGTCTTTGATTCAACTTTTGAGGGGAGCAGGAATGAACTTGCGCAAATGGTCAAGTAATCACCCCGCCTTACTTGAAAATCTCCACAAAGACCAAATCTCAACCCGAAACACCTTCGACTTCAAATCTGAGGAAACTTCGAAGACGCTAGGACTTTGTTGGGATCACAAAAGCGATACTTTTCATTTTAACTGGCCGGTGGCACGTGGAAAGCATCCAACAAAGAGATCTTTACTCTCTGAGATTTCCAAGTTCTATGACCCGCTAGGCTGGCTTTCGCCAATAACGGTCAAAGCTAAACTATTATTTCAAAAACTCTGGATTACCAAACTTGGCTGGGATGAACAAGTGCCCAGCGACATAGCAACTGAATGGCTGAAACTTAATACGGAACTAACCTACATCAAATCCATGAAGTTGAACCGATGGATCGGTGATACACAACAACGGGTCGAATTACTTGGCTTCTGCGACGCTAGTGAAAAAGCGTACGCCTGCGTCATCTATAGTCGAGTTACAAACGAACAAGGCTCACTCGTAGTAACTTTACTTGTCGCCAAGACAAGGGTAGCACCCCTAACGCAGAAGACCACGGTCCCCAGGCTTGAATTGTGCGGCGCTTTACTGCTGGCTGAATTAATGCAAAAGACTAGAGAAGCGCTAGATGGGTTCAGCATTTCAGTAAGGGCTTGGACTGATTCCCAGGTTGTGTTAGCCTGGATTCAGGGAGACTCATCAAAATGGGAAACCTATGTCGCTAATAGAGTCACGAAAATCAAGCACATTATACCAGCAACTCAATGGAACTATGTGAAGTCAGAATATAATCCCGCTGACTGTGCTTCCAGAGGACTGCTTCCAAGCAAACTTCTGAGCTTAAGTTTGTGGTGGCAAGGCCCAGACTTTTTATCTAGACAAAACGGTTTCGAAAATAATCCACGCCCATTCCAAACAAACATGGGTTGCGCAAATCATGTAGAAAGAAAACAAGTAGGCCAAAAGATTCAGCAAAATTTTATAAGCGATTTGTTGAATAATTGTAGTTCATTGACGCATATTACTCGAATTACCGCATGGATACAACGGTTTATTAACAATATGCGCAACAAAACGAAATCGGAAACCGACTACTTAACAGCAAGTGAACTAAGTGCAGCAGAAAAAAGTATCGTCATGTATGTGCAACGTTCAGAGTTTGATCTCGAGTACAAACAACTGAACAAAAACGAAGATATATCGAAAAAGAGTTCAATCTTCAAGCTGAACCCCTACTTGGATGAAAACGGAATTATTTGCGTCGGAGGTCGTCTGAAGAATTCGAGTCTACCACCTAAGATGAAAAATCCGAGTATCATACCACATACGGGGCGATACACCAAACGTTTGATTGACCAAGCACATTCACGCACGCTACACGGAGGAGCTCGGCTAACTTCAATGTATCTACGTCAGCGCTACTGGATTGTCGGTGGAAATCGAGCAATCAAAATGTTGCTTCGAAAATGCGTGCGCTGTCATCGTTTCAGCAAATCAGATAGCCACCAACTGATGGCAGACTTGCCGAGACAACGGGTTACTCCGTGCCGACCCTTCACACATACAGGAGTAGATTTCTCTGGGCATGTTAACGTCAAACATAACAAAGGCAGAGGCATCAAAACATCAAAGGGTTACATAGCGATATTCATATGTATGGCAACGAAGGCCGTTCATATTGAATTAGTGTCGGACCTTAGCACGGAGACCTTTATAGCGGCCTTTCAAAGGCTGTGTGCAAGACGCGGTACACCGAAACACATGTACTCAGACTGTGGGACAAACTTCATCGGTGCTGCAAGATTACTCCGCGAAGAGTATGCATTATTCAAACAAGTAATGACACCAGAAGTCTTCAGCGAACTAGCAAACTTAGAGGTTGAGTGGCATTTTAATGCTCCAGCTTGGCCGAGCGCAGGCGGTCTTTGGGAGGCCGCTGTGAAATCCATGAAGCACCATCTGAGACGAGTGTTGGGTGACCAGAAGCTTACCTACGAGGAGTTCAGTACACTACTAGCCAAGATAGAAGCCTGCTTGAATTCTAGGCCGCTGTGTCCTCTTACAGAAGATCCAGAAGAGTTCTACAACTGCTTGACTCCTGGCCATTTCCTCACAGGCAGCCCTATATTGTCATTGCCGTTAGCGGATTATAGCAATGCAAGCAATATTAACTTACGTCGTAGATGGCAACTTTGCGAACATATGTTCCATCAATACTGGAAGACATGGTCAAATGAGTATCTCACTACACTGCAAACTCGTAGTAAGTGGAACAAGCCCAATAGAAACATCAAGAAAGGTGATTTAGTACTGGTGAAGGAGGATAATCTGCCGCCAGGAAAATGGGCTATGGGCCGCATCATAGAGACGCATCCAGGATCCGATGGCTACGTACGGGTCACAACAGTCAAAACTCAGGCTGGAAATATCAAGCGTCCTGTGGTCAAACTGTCACCCTTGCCTTTGGACACTGAAATTCAGGCCGAGTCAGAAACGGAAAAAACAAACACAACAAGACATCGGGCAAAAGGAAGCAAACTTATCTCTACATTATTCATAACAACATTAACATTATTTACACTAATATCGGGTGTCTATGGTGCCACTGACACCACGCAGCACGCGCCCGGTGCTCTAATTACCGAACTGAAACCGGAGCGACCTGTATACTATGATACTGTCGGCAAAATGCAAGTAATACATGATGAATGGATATTAATTATGTATTACAATCTAACTAATTACTGGGAAAGTATTCATCGAACTGAAACCTTTTTCGAGAATGTAAAAAACGTATGTTATCAAACCAAGCTACAACATTGCCAAACTATAATGGAACAACTTAGTCATGAAATGGAGCTGCTCAGTTACTATAACTCTGTACTGATGAATCCACACAAACACCTTAGTAACCGTAAAAGACGTGGTTTAGTTGACGGCGTTGGGTATATAGCTAATAGCCTGTTTGGGATATTAGATCAACACTTTGCAGAAAAATACCAAAACGATATTAATTCAATTCAAAACAACGAAAAGTACCTCCTGGATCTGATTAAAAACCAGACCACTATTGTGGAACTCGAAAATCAAGTTTTGAAGAAAAGTGAAACAAACATTAAGCGCCAATTCAACATCATCGATAGTTTCGTTAATCAAACAAACTTGAACCTCGCCTCAATAGAAACGGAGATGGAAATAATATCGGCAACTACTTACATCAACTCAGCCTCATTGACTGCATATTTGCTAATCAATAGCTTGCAAAATTTCCAAGAAATGCTGTTCAATACCCTCACGAACGTATATCAGGGACATATTGATGTGCATTTGATCACTCCTGTACATTTGATTGAGCAATTAGGTGAAATATCGGGAAACCTACCAAAAACTGTATCATTACCTGTTGAAAACTATAAGGAGAACATCAAAGAAGTCTACAAGCTAATGAACGTCAAAGCACGAGTTACAGAAACGTACTTTATATTCGAAGTGCATATACCCCTGGTTTCAAATGAAGATTACATGATATATCAAGTTATACCGTTACCATTTACCAGAGGCAACCAACTCACATATGCTCAAATTTCATCAAAATACATCGCTGTAAACCTTAAAAAGAGTTCTTACATTCTGCTGACCGAAGGTGACTACAGACAATGTGTACAACAGACATCACTTAACTTTCTTTGCAAAAATAACTTACCATCTTATGATTTACATAGCAACAAAGCCCCGTGTGAAGCAAAATTGCTGTCACATCAAAACACCGCACCGTGCGACATAGCGCCAACAATATGCAAGGACGCCTGGATCGAGTTACACTCGTCGAACAGCTGGCTGGCGATATGCTGCGATACATGTGTACTACGTACACTATGTAGTAATGACATAACAACATACACACTAAAGTCATCTGGTCTAGTGACGTTATCTCAAGGATGCGTATTGCAATCAAGAGACATAACGATCGTCGCTCATCGCCAGTACAACAGCCAAACGAAAATGAACTACGCATTGACAGCCCCTACTTTGAATACACCTATAAACAAGATTGTCAACTTAACGTACCGCTACGCTCCGAACACGCTCGAACCCACGACTACAGATCTTGAATTCTCCAAAATTGAAGGGAAAATCAAAACTCAAAAGGATAATGAGGCGAACCTCCCAAGCCTTACAACACACGACATTCATCAGTACGCCATCAGTTACTCTCTGTTGTCTGCGGCTATCGTTGCGCTGTTGCTGGCGGTTGGGAGGAAGCGCTGGAGCCACTGTTTCAAAAAAAACCCAACCACGGTGGTGCAGCATGAGGATATTGAGTTACAAGTCATCCGCCAAGTCAACCATCAACAAAGGGAGACAGGCGGCACATTATCGTCGAGCAACAGCAGCAGCGAGGAACCTCGACCGGTCAGATTTCCGCGGAGCGTCGACTCTGGAACTAGGAACATAGCTTTCAATCTTGACTAACGTTTTGCGATTTATCTTACTATTATACTCTATGATTATTTTGCTTTGTACTGGCATTTCCTTCTCTCATTTGTTGTGACCTTTTGGAGTTGCCAAGATGTACAGTCTTCAACGGTACATAGATATTTTGCTGACATTAAGATCGGTACGATCGCGCGATATTGCTTAGGTATATAATCACATGTCAAGTAATTATCGAGCAGAGTGTGTTATTACTAATAACGAAGTAAACACCTAATGAGAAAGGAATTGCCAACTGTGCTATACTGTACCACACTTGGGTGCAATAAACTTTATAGTTACATTATCCGAGTGATCTTTTCTCTGCACACTCCAACATCAACTACAAGTGTACGAACTGTACACTATCCTAAAAATTATGATCTGAACATCGAGCATAGTTTTAGAGATACCCATGGGTAGCACCGATTGCCTACCATCAGCTGTTACACTATCTAATAAGAATATCAAGACTGTTACCTGATCGAGTTGGTCTATAGATGTATGACTGGTGGGACTCTTGACTGTATCAAACACTGAGGAGTCACTGTCGTGGTCGGACTGTTGGTGGGGCGTCTCCGGACTGTCCGGGATCTCACCTGCCGCTGTAATGGAAACGAAATCGGTCTTTAAGTTTAAGTTTTGGATTCACAATCAAATGTAGGTGGACAGATTTCACCATAATCGTAGTCATCATCACCCACCAGTAATACCATGTGTGACTATATACTATGTGGGTATATGTTGTAAGTACCGTACCGTGTGGGTGTATGTTCCTCCGCTGGGCGCGCGGTGAGGGCGGGTGCAGGGCGGGGCGCGGTACAATGTAGCAGTATGTAGATGTATGTACCGTACCGTGTGGGTGTATGTTCCTCCGCTGGGCGCGCGGTGAGGGTGGGTGCAGGGCGGCGGCGCGGCCGGCGCCGGGCGCGCGACACACGGCCGCCTGCACCACCTCGCACACTCGTCGGAAGCGCCGGATGTTGCCTGCACGACAATGCACCATGTTATTGCTAAACAAATATTACGTACACAAGCGCAAACATCAGGTAGCTACTATTAATCGGTTTTTTAGGACTTCCCTAAGCTATCATAGTACTTCATTATCAGGCCCTTAGTGACAATCACATTCCATTTAGGACAAAAGTTCTCGTCAATACAAATAATTGAAACCCAAAAACAGGGTTATTGCTGTAAATCCTCGAGGAGTTCCCTCAAGTATCTCTTGACTCCGTCATCAGATGAACTCCACACCTTTATCTAATTGTGGTAGTTTCACGCTCTCGTCGCTCCTAACTTTTTCATCCATAGTATCCTATCATCAGATCGTGAACTAGAAACCTGGACCTGACCCCGAGAGTATGACCTATCCAACAAAAAATAATCATCAAAATCTTTCCACAAATGCCGCAGTAAACGCGTAACATACACAAAAAAAATATAACCTCCTCCTGGGAAATCGGTTAAAAATAGCGCTTGACGCGTTGACAGTCGAAATTAATATTGATTTGGACTAAATCTGGAATTATAGAAAAATGGCAGCCAAAACCAGTTTTTCTACAATATCTCTTTTCCTGTGCGTTTTGCGAGAAAACCGTTGATTTTTTTTTAAGGGGGGAATTTCATCGAATGATTGCTCCCGCCCGGGTGACGAGGAAGTGTCACACTCTTACTGACTAAAAACCACCCCGTTCCTACTCCTGTACTTCGAGCCAGAACCCCGGCAACCCATTAAGTTCTCCGAGACAAAACCGTTACTACAAAATTAATCTTTCTTTCTTTCTTTTTTGTAACACAAGTAGTTTTGGCGCCAGAGCACCGCAAAGTACATTTTTATGAACATTTAGGGAAAAACAATAATTTCTACACCACGTGAAAGTAGAGACAGCGGCGCGATTCTTTTATAGTGTAGTCTTTTATAGGTCTAATGCTCATGTGATTGCTGTAGGTACACACTTTAGGAACTTGCCACAATCTCCAGCCATTAGCTATTTCTAATGAACCGCACATAAGAGATTTCATCTTGGGCATCCATCGATATGTCATTGTCGTTATTTTTGAACAAAAATGCTTGTATTGAATCTGCAGAAGGGCATCGCAAATAAACCGGGCGAAACTCCTATGAGAGTGACTGTAAGTTTTTTCATAATGCATATTGAAGCGTATTTACTTTGCGCCACTCGTATGCCGAAACTTCTGATTTTATAATAAAGTTGCCAATATATAAATTGTAGGAAATTTCATAATAATATAGTTCAGTTTTGTTATTTTTTTCTGGATGTTGTCTTCGTGAAATATATTGAAAAAGAGTTAACTATTTGATAAAAATCTCATTAGGTACCATTTTCCGATATGGTATATTCCCGATATAAATCACTTATTTATCATTTTCATTGGACCCTAGGGTACCGATCGAGAATTCGCAGATTAAAATTTCACCCGGATTATTTGTGATGCACTTTTGTAGATTCTGAGCAAATAGCTTCACTTTTAACTAATTTTTTGTTGACGTTCAAAGTGCTGTCCTAATTGAAATAAATGATTTTGACTTTGAAATTGCCATTTATACGACATACGTTACCAATTAATACAATACATGTATCAGAAAATATTTATTAAGAAATAAAAAAGAAAAAGGTAACAAATAGAAACGACTTTTAGTAGAAGATTTTAAAGAGAACAGATCCCCACTTATGCCTTTGCGTCTCGACTCGACAAATCACCGGTCGCTACAGCAAAATCAGTTTACTATTACTTCTTACTTGAACAGCTTAGAGTATTTTTGGTTTAATACTCAGTTTAACAGCCTCTATGTAGCCACGGTTGACCAAAGACAATATCCTCAAGATCTCGTAGTTAACCACTGATATAATAAGAGTAATAGTTAACACACACTTTTAATGCTAGCAAAAAGTTTACATAACCTATACCTAGGTTAAAAAAAGTTGTAGAAAAACAAGAAATTGTAGTGACCGCCAAGTCGTTAAAAGTTTTAATTTTGCATTTGACAGTATTGTGTTATTAAAAAGTTTGTGTTTATAAACTACTTTCAACTAATGTACCCAGCATTTTATTTAGATTTTCGTCTTAGGTAATTTATGATTAAGCATAACATAACATCACGACTTTTATCCCCGAAGGGTTAGGCAGAGGTGCACATTACGGCACTTAATGCCACTGTACAATGTCACACCCACTTTTCACTTTCTATGTTAAGAGTCCCATGTAATAGTGAGTGAGCCTATTGCCATATACCGGGCACATTTCCATACTTCGTGCTACTACTGAGGTTTTTATAAACCCAGTAATACTTTGCCCGACCCGGGAATCGTACCCGAGACCCCTTGCCCAGCAGTCGCATTTACGACCACTCTGCCAACGAGGCAGTCTATTATTTTGATCTATTAGACAAAAAAAATATTAAGTTGTTAGTTATTCATTTTTTACTGGATTTCGACCCGGACATGAGTATTTGGGCTTTCTGTGAATGACCGATTTATGACTATGTTTTGTAATTAAAATAAATTGATTCAATCACTAACCTGATAATAACGTAAATGTGATTGCGTATAAATACTCCTTGCCATTCTCTCCGGGCGCCTTCGTTATTGTAGAAATGTCAACCTGGAAACAGTGAGACAACTCCTTAAATTAACCATCAAATTATAATTTGTGGAGAGACAAAATGTCTTGATTTTTCTATAGACAAAATAAAATTAAATGTGTATATTTAGACATAGAATAAAAGTAGACTATTGTCTACTTTTATTCTAGAACTCTATTGAGTTCTATAGACAAAATTAAAAAAAAGAGTGTGGAAGAGACATGCTTCGGCACGAATGGGCCGGCTCGACCGGATTGATACGGCCGAACAGAAAACCGACGTGAAGCAACGCTTGCGTTGTGTTTCGTCATATGAGTGAGGTTACCGGAGGTCCAATTACCCTCCCCTTCCCTAATCTCCCCAATTCCTGAATCCCCAACGATCCTCAAACTCCTAATCCCCAAAAGGTCGGTAACGCACTTGTAACGCCTCTGGTGTTCCAGGTGTCCATGAGCGATGCCGATTGCTTACCATCAGGTGATCCGTCTGCTCGTTTACCGGCTTATGCCATAAAAAAGAAATTAGGTATTTGTCCACTGAAATAAGTAACATTTGAAGAATTGTTGATTTAGATTATAACAAGAAATGATTTTTTAACAAGAACTGATTGGGTAGGAGAAACCTACTTACCTACTGCGACTACTAAAGAATAATGAAATATTTTCCCACCTGAAACCGGACATGTCTCTGAAACATGGCGGGTGCGTTGGATCCTCTCTTGTACTCCACCCGAAACGACATCGGACTTAGCACGCTATGCGATAATTCTGCTATCTGGAATTTAAGAAAAACTGATAAATTTAACAAAATAAGATAAATTGCGAAGTTATATATTGACATTTGCGTTAAACCTTTGGTAAAATTGGATTGCACAGAACTAAAAAAAACAACAATTCGGTACTTGCCAACTAGTCAAATTCAATACTTTTTACGGACTGTCAAAAACGCGACAGATTTCTATGAATGTTGTACTAGATTGTGTATTGCGACGTCACGTTTTTTTAGCGTCAAATAGCATAGGTACTTATATCTTACAAACATGCTGTAAAAATACTAAAATGAAGTTGGTCATAAAATCAATTAATGAAAGTTGATTATTTTTTAATATTTTATTATATTGAACAGTCGAAATAATTGATTTTTTATTAAAGGAAAGTACCTAGTTACAATTTAGGCCTCTTTTAATAAGTTAGAGTTCAGTTTGCCAAATAGGGAGTGATACGATTGCCGTACATGGACACAACTCCAGACTGCTACATAATACTGTACTTATTGCAGAATCGCACCTGAGACCTGTTTGGCAGTTGCATTTGCGATCATTGTACCTTGAAGTAACACACACACATCACATCAACAGCCTATAAATGCCCACTGCTGAGCAAAGCCTCTTCTCGCACGGGGAAGGTTTGAGCATTAATCAACAAGCTTGCTCAATGCGGGTTGGCGATTACAAACTTATAACTGGAAATTATAAGTCCAGGTATCCTCACGATGTTTTCCTTCACCGTTTGTCAGTGGTGTCTAAATAATGCGCGCGGCGAGGGCGGGTGCAGGGCGGGGCGCGGTACAATGTAGCAGTATGTAGATGTATGTACCGTACCGTGTGGGTGTATGTTCCTCCGCTGGGCGCGCGGCGAGGGCGGGTGCAGGGCGGGGCGCGGTACAATGTAGCAGTATGTAGATGTATGTACCGTACCGTGTGGGTGTATGTTCCTCCGCTGGGCGCGCGGTGAGGGTGGGTGCAGGGCGGCGGCGCGGCCGGCGCCGGGCGCGCGACACACGGCCGCCTGCACCACCTCGCACACTCGTCGGAAGCGCCGGATGTTGCCTGCACGACAATGCACCATGTTATTGCTAAACAAATATTACGTACACAAGCGCAAACATCAGGTAGCTACTATTAATCGGTTTTTTAGGACTTCCCTAAGCTATCATAGTACTTCATTATCAGGCCCTTAGTGACAATCACATTCCATTTAGGACAAAAGTTCTCGTCAATACAAATAATTGAAACCCAAAAACAGGGTTATTGCTGTAAATCCTCGAGGAGTTCCCTCAAGTATCTCTTGACTCCGTCATCAGATGAACTCCACACCTTTATCTAATTGTGGTAGTTTCACGCTCTCGTCGCTCCTAACTTTTTCATCCATAGTATCCTATCATCAGATCGTGAACTAGAAACCTGGACCTGACCCCGAGAGTATGACCTATCCAACAAAAAATAATCATCAAAATCTTTCCACAAATGCCGCAGTAAACGCGTAACATACACAAAAAAAATATAACCTCCTCCTGGGAAATCGGTTAAAAATAGCGCTTGACGCGTTGACAGTCGAAATTAATATTGATTTGGACTAAATCTGGAATTATAGAAAAATGGCAGCCAAAACCAGTTTTTCTACAATATCTCTTTTCCTGTGCGTTTTGCGAGAAAACCGTTGATTTTTTTTTAAGGGGGGAATTTCATCGAATGATTGCTCCCGCCCGGGTGACGAGGAAGTGTCACACTCTTACTGACTAAAAACCACCCCGTTCCTACTCCTGTACTTCGAGCCAGAACCCCGGCAACCCATTAAGTTCTCCGAGACAAAACCGTTACTACAAAATTAATCTTTCTTTCTTTCTTTTTTGTAACACAAGTAGTTTTGGCGCCAGAGCACCGCAAAGTACATTTTTATGAACATTTAGGGAAAAACAATAATTTCTACACCACGTGAAAGTAGAGACAGCGGCGCGATTCTTTTATAGTGTAGTCTTTTATAGGTCTAATGCTCATGTGATTGCTGTAGGTACACACTTTAGGAACTTGCCACAATCTCCAGCCATTAGCTATTTCTAATGAACCGCACATAAGAGATTTCATCTTGGGCATCCATCGATATGTCATTGTCGTTATTTTTGAACAAAAATGCTTGTATTGAATCTGCAGAAGGGCATCGCAAATAAACCGGGCGAAACTCCTATGAGAGTGACTGTAAGTTTTTTCATAATGCATATTGAAGCGTATTTACTTTGCGCCACTCGTATGCCGAAACTTCTGATTTTATAATAAAGTTGCCAATATATAAATTGTAGGAAATTTCATAATAATATAGTTCAGTTTTGTTATTTTTTTCTGGATGTTGTCTTCGTGAAATATATTGAAAAAGAGTTAACTATTTGATAAAAATCTCATTAGGTACCATTTTCCGATATGGTATATTCCCGATATAAATCACTTATTTATCATTTTCATTGGACCCTAGGGTACCGATCGAGAATTCGCAGATTAAAATTTCACCCGGATTATTTGTGATGCACTTTTGTAGATTCTGAGCAAATAGCTTCACTTTTAACTAATTTTTTGTTGACGTTCAAAGTGCTGTCCTAATTGAAATAAATGATTTTGACTTTGAAATTGCCATTTATACGACATACGTTACCAATTAATACAATACATGTATCAGAAAATATTTATTAAGAAATAAAAAAGAAAAAGGTAACAAATAGAAACGACTTTTAGTAGAAGATTTTAAAGAGAACAGATCCCCACTTATGCCTTTGCGTCTCGACTCGACAAATCACCGGTCGCTACAGCAAAATCAGTTTACTATTACTTCTTACTTGAACAGCTTAGAGTATTTTTGGTTTAATACTCAGTTTAACAGCCTCTATGTAGCCACGGTTGACCAAAGACAATATCCTCAAGATCTCGTAGTTAACCACTGATATAATAAGAGTAATAGTTAACACACACTTTTAATGCTAGCAAAAAGTTTACATAACCTATACCTAGGTTAAAAAAAGTTGTAGAAAAACAAGAAATTGTAGTGACCGCCAAGTCGTTAAAAGTTTTAATTTTGCATTTGACAGTATTGTGTTATTAAAAAGTTTGTGTTTATAAACTACTTTCAACTAATGTACCCAGCATTTTATTTAGATTTTCGTCTTAGGTAATTTATGATTAAGCATAACATAACATCACGACTTTTATCCCCGAAGGGTTAGGCAGAGGTGCACATTACGGCACTTAATGCCACTGTACAATGTCACACCCACTTTTCACTTTCTATGTTAAGAGTCCCATGTAATAGTGAGTGAGCCTATTGCCATATACCGGGCACATTTCCATACTTCGTGCTACTACTGAGGTTTTTATAAACCCAGTAATACTTTGCCCGACCCGGGAATCGTACCCGAGACCCCTTGCCCAGCAGTCGCATTTACGACCACTCTGCCAACGAGGCAGTCTATTATTTTGATCTATTAGACAAAAAAAATATTAAGTTGTTAGTTATTCATTTTTTACTGGATTTCGACCCGGACATGAGTATTTGGGCTTTCTGTGAATGACCGATTTATGACTATGTTTTGTAATTAAAATAAATTGATTCAATCACTAACCTGATAATAACGTAAATGTGATTGCGTATAAATACTCCTTGCCATTCTCTCCGGGCGCCTTCGTTATTGTAGAAATGTCAACCTGGAAACAGTGAGACAACTCCTTAAATTAACCATCAAATTATAATTTGTGGAGAGACAAAATGTCTTGATTTTTCTATAGACAAAATAAAATTAAATGTGTATATTTAGACATAGAATAAAAGTAGACTATTGTCTACTTTTATTCTAGAACTCTATTGAGTTCTATAGACAAAATTAAAAAAAAGAGTGTGGAAGAGACATGCTTCGGCACGAATGGGCCGGCTCGACCGGATTGATACGGCCGAACAGAAAACCGACGTGAAGCAACGCTTGCGTTGTGTTTCGTCATATGAGTGAGGTTACCGGAGGTCCAATTACCCTCCCCTTCCCTAATCTCCCCAATTCCTGAATCCCCAACGATCCTCAAACTCCTAATCCCCAAAAGGTCGGTAACGCACTTGTAACGCCTCTGGTGTTCCAGGTGTCCATGAGCGATGCCGATTGCTTACCATCAGGTGATCCGTCTGCTCGTTTACCGGCTTATGCCATAAAAAAGAAATTAGGTATTTGTCCACTGAAATAAGTAACATTTGAAGAATTGTTGATTTAGATTATAACAAGAAATGATTTTTTAACAAGAACTGATTGGGTAGGAGAAACCTACTTACCTACTGCGACTACTAAAGAATAATGAAATATTTTCCCACCTGAAACCGGACATGTCTCTGAAACATGGCGGGTGCGTTGGATCCTCTCTTGTACTCCACCCGAAACGACATCGGACTTAGCACGCTATGCGATAATTCTGCTATCTGGAATTTAAGAAAAACTGATAAATTTAACAAAATAAGATAAATTGCGAAGTTATATATTGACATTTGCGTTAAACCTTTGGTAAAATTGGATTGCACAGAACTAAAAAAAACAACAATTCGGTACTTGCCAACTAGTCAAATTCAATACTTTTTACGGACTGTCAAAAACGCGACAGATTTCTATGAATGTTGTACTAGATTGTGTATTGCGACGTCACGTTTTTTTAGCGTCAAATAGCATAGGTACTTATATCTTACAAACATGCTGTAAAAATACTAAAATGAAGTTGGTCATAAAATCAATTAATGAAAGTTGATTATTTTTTAATATTTTATTATATTGAACAGTCGAAATAATTGATTTTTTATTAAAGGAAAGTACCTAGTTACAATTTAGGCCTCTTTTAATAAGTTAGAGTTCAGTTTGCCAAATAGGGAGTGATACGATTGCCGTACATGGACACAACTCCAGACTGCTACATAATACTGTACTTATTGCAGAATCGCACCTGAGACCTGTTTGGCAGTTGCATTTGCGATCATTGTACCTTGAAGTAACACACACACATCACATCAACAGCCTATAAATGCCCACTGCTGAGCAAAGCCTCTTCTCGCACGGGGAAGGTTTGAGCATTAATCAACAAGCTTGCTCAATGCGGGTTGGCGATTACAAACTTATAACTGGAAATTATAAGTCCAGGTATCCTCACGATGTTTTCCTTCACCGTTTGTCAGTGGTGTCTAAATAATCTTAGAAAGTACATATAACTCGGAAAAAGTCACATAGGTACTTGTCGTTGGTAGGTTTCGAACCCTCATGAGAAGCAAGCATCTTAAACCCTCCGGGCCACCATGACAATTATCACCTTAAACTAGCATGCAAGTTTAAATAAATATAGATAGTACTTACACTTAAAAACGCATGTATTAAATCTGCTTTGACAGTAGCTAGAGGCTTGCCCTTCACTAATGCTGTGAAGGTTTCTTCTTTGTCAGCTGACAACAGCAGGGAACCGAACCATGACCGCTTCGTCAGTTCCGGTGACGATTCGGGAGTTAAGTGCACCTCTTCTGAGGATGCTGTGGAAAGGAGAACGGTTTTTAGATAAAATTCAAATAAAATATATTGTTCTCTACCCTCCGAGGGGTTTAACAATGACATCTCGATATGTTAAATGTAATATCCATTTTTCACCAGTACAGGGTGAAACCAATATCAATGTCAACACTATACAACCTCTATCGTAGCTGTAAAAATAGCATGCAGAATATGGAATTTAAAGCCACTGCGGTGTCACTGACCAGGGTGCTTACTCTTGAAACCAATATCAATGTCAACACTATACAACCTCTATCGTAGCTGTAAAAATAGCATGCAGAATATGGAATTTAAAGCCACTGCGGTGTCACTGACCAGGGTGCTTACTCTTGAAACAAATCTCAATGTCAATGCAATTTCAATCCAATAAAATCGCAATAATTATTCAATGTCAAAACTATACAACGCCATCGTAGCTGTTCAAATAGTATTCTGAATATGTAACATAAAACCAATTCAATACCATTTAGTTCATTCAATATCCGTGCAATACGGATCCAATGGGCGCTAGTGTTGCAACTCAAGAGTACGAAATTTCACAATACCAATAGTAAGCGATCTGTTCTAAGCCGTAGCACCAGATGATGTTCTGTCCAACACTCCATATAATTGTTTTCAAAAATGAAGTCTTAACCCTGAATCAAGATTTAGACCTTTTGCTCGGGCAAAGGATAGTTTCGATATTCAGTACTATGATAGTACCGACATGCATATTACAGCATGCCATGCTATACTATTACAGATTCGATTATGTCATTCATGAATTCAAAATTAATACTATTTTTCCGCTTGAGAACTGAAGAATGAAATTACATTCGACCATCAGTATCATCTGTCTACAACTATCTTGCTCTTTCTCACTTCCTCCTTAAATTTGTTAATGATTAATGAAACTTACTCTGCATTTTCCTCCGATGGAAGCGCGGCGAGCCGAGGAAGGAGTTCTTGATGGTAGCGAGTCGCACCCGCCAGGGGGCGGCGGCCGCGCCCGCGCCCCCGCACGGGCCCACGCCGCACACGGCCGAGCTGCCCACGCCGCCCGGGGCTACACCTGCGCGGGACGCACAACTTACTGCACTATGGACTTGGTTTTTTTATAGGATAAGCCGGGAAACGAGCAGACGGATCACCTGATGGTAAGCAATCGGCGTCGCCCATGGGACACTCGGAACACCGGAGAAGTTACAAGTGCGTTACCGGCCTTTTGGGATTAGGAATTTGAGGGTTGTTGGGCATCGAGGAGATTTAGGGAAGGGTAAGGCCAGGTAATTAGACCTCCGGTAACCTCACTCACACGACGAAACACAACTCAAGCGTTATTTCACGTCGTTCTTCTGCTCGGCCGTGGTATCAATCCGGTCGAGCCGACCTATTTGTGCTGAAGCATGACTCTCCAATACTTCATTGTTTATTTTAGAAGTGCTATTTATTAATACTGTTCAAGAAAATATCTATAATAAACTCACAGTTGAGAAAGTTCGAATTTTTTTTTATAAGATAATGTCGAAAGGTCTCATGTGTAAAAAGTCATAATGTATTAAAAAAGAAACGAAAACCATTAGTACTACTAATTTAATTTAGCAATAATCTATACACATAATAAAATCGTAGGAAAGTGAAAACTGTACATCAAATATTTGTTTAAAAGAATGCTTTGGGCGCGGTCTACAGTCGATACCGAAACCAAAAATGTGTATTTTAATATTTTTGGCTGTTTGTCCGGGATGAGCTTAAAAAGTGGCATGGATTTATTTCAAATTTTGCATGAATATTACTAACAGGTCAGGTCAATATATAGGCTACATATTATTATGCTATCAACTACGGGGGAGGAGCTGTGAATCACTAATCCACGCGGACGAAGGCGCAGACTCAGCTAGTTATTATATATTATTTTTATTTATTCTATAATTTGTAAATATTTATATAAATTATAATTAGCAATAGAATCCAAAAATCTTTGTATAATATATGAAGTCTATACGAACTTGGAACTCCGTGAAAAAGTTAATTTGTTAAATATTATATTGAAGTCAAACTACCACTTACTTGTAATAGTACCTAAGTTGGGGAAGAGAGAGGGTTGCGCCGGCGATTGTGTGGTACTCGGGGGACCCGGCAGAGATGATCTTTCTCGCACTGAAAAATATATAAAATAATACACCTTATTTTCAATGCTATGTGACTAAAGACGAATATAAATAAGTACTTAATTAACATATTTTTTATAATATTTCAGACTTAAAAAATAAACAATGATCATATCCAAATAGATTTGAAAAATAATATATGTTTTAAAGAATTAAAAGTATTAGACTTGGCTATCCTCTACCGTGCACCTACCTCTATGTGTCTGCGAGGGACTGTGTGGTCGGACCGCGACGGACGAGCCCATTACTGGTGACTCGTTTATTATAATCACCGCCTCGCCCGGCTCACCACCTATGGTGATAGGTTATTTTTACACTGTTAAAACATTAATTTTAACATTGAAAATAATGACGAAAATTAAATGACGGACGACAAATTTTTATTTTAATGTCCGTCTAGTAGATTATTTTAAAACATTAGACACGTATTTTTTATTTTCTTACGGAAAAGAATATTTACAGAGATATATTGATTTGAAATATCGCATGACGTCACTTTTGAGTGCGATTTATACTCTAAAAGGACGTAGCTACCTCCCACTCCTAAACTCTGATTCGTTCTATCTAAGTATTGTTTTCTTATACGACAAAATACGTGTCTAATATGTTTTCATTACCTAACTTACTGACTAATTAGATTTTTAATTTTAATGCCCTGTCATCATCCCTATTTTAATTGATTATCTACTCTTTTACGATGTTTTAAAGTTGATTTCAGACTGATTTTGATTAATAGGTAGGTAGTATGGTATTAAATAATGCATTTGCATTGAAAAGTTAACTTTAAATTAGAGAGACAAAGTTAATTTTGATATGATACTTACTTATATTTAGACTAATAGTAGGTCCAGTAGAATTCGCTCGTTGGTGATGATGCTCTCGAATTGAAGGGGAGGCTGGAACAATTACGAAATTATGAAGGATATGAACTACTTAATCATTTAATGACTACTTGATAAAATACTGTAAAATGCAACCAAAATAATAACAGACATAAGACAATGTATATCATTTTGAAATAAAATATGTAACTATTTTAAGCAAGTTTTAAAGACATACTATATAAAACAGAAGAAACAGGATAGATTTAATACAACATAATGCCTTTTATTCCCGAAGGCGTAGGCAGAGGTGCACGTTTCGGCACTTAATGCCACTGTACAATGTAACACCCACTTTTCACTATTTATGTTTTGAGTCCCATGTTAGGGAGTGAGCCTATTGCCATATAAATACTAAACTAAATCAAGTCGTGGTGGTAAGTGAGGTTGATCCTTCGGCACGAATGGGCCGGCTCGACCGGAGTGACACCACGGCCTCACAGAAAACCGACGTGAAGCAACACTTGCATTGTGTTTCGTCGTGTGAGTGAGGTTACCGGAGTACCAATTACCCCCCCTCCCCAGTCTCTCCAATCCCCGAATCCCCCACAATTCTCAAATTCCTAATACCCAAAAGGCCGGTAACGCACTTGTAACTTGTATCATCTCTGGTCCTCTCGCGATGATGCGGAGCGAGAGGGATTGGGATGCCGTCTCCTCCTTTTGCGAAGCAGTCATGCTAGCTAAGGAGGAGGCGGGACGCGTCCTCGCAACCCAGCCATCGCGAAGGACACACCGGGCGTCGGGGATCGCGGGACGATCTCCGGCCACCGTAAGCGCGGGCCTGCGGACGGCGAGCATGGGTGGCTCCCCGTCCGACCAGAAACAGACCCGAGCGTACGGCGCATCGCGTTCCGCGCGCGCCTCAAAGAGCCATCAGACCACCACAGATGGGGCCCAATAGGGCCGATGCCGATTCGGAGTCGCGGAGAACCTAACGGGTAACCGGGGCTCCGGCTCGACGTGCAGGAGAAGGAACGGGGTGGTTTTTAGTCAGTAAGAGTCTGACACTCCCTTCCGCCTCACCCAGGCGGGAGCAGTCATTCGATGATTTTCCCCCCTTAAAAAAAAAAACGCCTCTGGTGTTCCAGGTGACAATGGGCGTTGCCGATTGCTTAACATCAGGTGATCCGTCTGCTCGTTTACCGGTTTATCCCATAAAAAGGTAGAAATAGGTCAAAGAAGTAAGTTTAGTAGTTACATTTACCCAAAGGTGATCCAGGAGTTGCCGGTGTACCGCCCAGCGATGATACTCGGTGCGGCGTGTGACCGGCTGAAGACAACACGGAATTATTTGTATCTAATGTTTTATTACACTTAGCTTGGGTCGCTACCGAATTTTGAGTGAGTAACGTGAATAATAAAAACTATCGTGAAGCATACTAAATTAACTAAAAATCGCCGGTTACTCACGTGAATATACTGAGAAAAGCTCTACTAGTTTCGAACCACAGAGGGGTTCTTCCTCATGCGCAGAGTAGTAGAGCTTTTCTCAGTATATTCACGTGAGTAACCTTTCGATTTTTTATTTGCGAACTGTTATATAATAATAAAGTGTTAAGTAGAGTAGACTAAGATTGATAAATCAGTAAATTAGCTAGAAATTTTGTAGCGACTTTCTCAAAGTATCCGTTAGTTTTTCTGTTATTTGAGACCCTTTTTAGAAAACTTATGTAGTTTACCATCAAAAATATTCATGCTCTGAATAATTTAAACAACAATAATGGTCGACTGTCAGAAAATGCCTACGGCATTAAGTCCGCCAATTTCACTGTATGTGCAGTAAAGTTTAATAAATAAATAAATAATATCAAGCGACACTTACTAGGCGGGCTGGCAGGCAACTGTGGTGAACTGCGTCCCTCACCCCTCCGGCCCGAGGCAGACCTACTGCGACCAAACCTGGACTCAAACCTCAGACATTACACACACACTACCTAGTCACTACTGGATGCAATAGCGTGAAGATAGAAAATAGGAAAGAAAACTGATATCAACATGATAAGGTATCTTACAAAGGTGTAAAAATATAGAGAAGAAAAGGCATGAGACTCGTTTTAATTACTGAAAAATTTGTTAAGACGAAAACGGTGACAATCTTAATAGAATGTTAGACCATCAGAGATCAGAGAAGCTATAGTAAAAACAGTTTGCTAGAATTAAGTCGAAGTTAGCTTTAGAAGCCATAAAATGCTAGGTTGTTATCTAGCCGTACGACAATGTTTTTATAATAACTATAGAGAGAGATGTACTAAATTAACCAAAAATCGCGAGTTATTTACGTGAACATACTGAGAAAAACTCTACTAGTTTGGAACCATAGAGGCACCGCCCCACACAGACATCGCCGCGACCGCGCACGCTGCTCATGAGGAAGAAACTAGTAGTAGTTTCGAACCACAGACAAGCTCTACAGCTTGTCTCAGTATATTTACGTGAGTAACACTCGATTTTTAGTTAATTTACGTATGATAATCATAGCATGTCTTCGCAGACCCAAATAATGAACAATTTGTTGACCAAATAACTTATATTGTGCGGAGGTAATAACAAAACTGATTCGTATAAAATTGTAGTGTAGGTACTACATCTGAAAATATTATTTTTATATTTAAAAAGAGTATAATAGTACAAAAAGCAGGAGATAGATATAATGATTATGAAAAATGATTTATAAAAAAGAGTAAAAAATTTTCAAACTTGGCGGGTCTCTACCATGCACCCAAAATGTATGGACTTGAACAAAATACGTCTTTCTAGTTATCTGCTTACCACCTGAAGGAATAGCGTGTAGATATTTATTAAGACTTCGTACCTATATTGTGATCTTCTAGGCGTTATTGGAGAACCTTCGCTAATCTGACCGAAGTGTGCTGATTGCCCGTTTACCTGGAATATTAAATTACATAGTTGTCTTATGCCGGAATACTGAAACGTTACGTATTAAATAGTAAGTCTAGTTCTGTCACTACTATGTCTTTATAAAATGATAGAGATGGCACGATATTTAAACACGACTTAAAATTGAGTAACGTTTCAGTATTCCAGCATTAGATTGGTTCGTTGGTCGAGTCCGTCGAGTAGATGCAAGTGCGACTTCCAAGAGCAATGGTTTTCGGGTCAGTTTAAGTGTTTCAGGATAATTTTTCAGTGTTCGGAAAGTTTCTCGGGGGCTGCAAATGTGCCGAGTGTACGGCAATGCCTAGGGAGTAAACTCATTCCCCTTACCTACATGGGTAAATTATCTGATGACTGTTAGTCAAAAATGGGATTTGAACAGTATAACTTTGACAATAACGTCTCTTCCGTTGCTCATATTGCCCGATGCGCTAAAATCACCCGAATAATTAGGGCATAATTCTGGTCTATACTCTCTTAGTTAGAAGAAATAGATGTCGTAACTTATTTTCTTAATCATTAGATAGAAATCCCATATTTTGGGATTACAGGTAACCCGTAAATTAAAACCAAGTTCCAAACAATCACAATAATACATAATTATTATAAATGTGAATGTGTGTTTCTTTGTTCGTATGTTTGTCCGTCAATCACGCTGAAACTACTGAACGGATGTTGATGAGATTTGGTATACAGGCAGGGTATGGTCTGAGTTAGGTAGGGATACCTTTTATCCCAATTAAATTAATGCTCCCATGGGATAAAACAGGAATACGCGGGCAGAGCCGCGGGTAAAAGCTAGTATTATAATAAAATTTTTGAATATACCTTAAACTTAATTTAAAAACCTTAAATAACTTCAAATTCTATTAAAATATAATCAGTATTTACCCGGCAAGTATCGAGTCTTTTCCTGGGCGGGTCGGGCGGTAGCGCGGGCGCGGCGGGTCGCGGCTCGTCGTCCCGCGCCGGCCGCCGCCGCTTGCGTTCCAATAGTAGGAAGTATATCACTTTCTCTGTGTTGTGGCTGGAAAATGGATGAATTGGAGATGTTAGAAATATAGGGTACTTTGATAGCATTATGGACTCGTAAGTACTCAAAAGTGCGATGCGACGTCGCATCGCAAATTTTTTTTATTTATTACAAGCTCCTTATACGCATCTGATCTTCCCAATATCTTCTTAGAAAAAACCAAAAAAGAAAATAATCATTGTTCGTCTCCTGGTTCTAAGCTACCTCCCTACCAATTTTCATCCAAATCGATTTAGCCATTCTGGAGATATAGATATAAATAAAAAGCTTACTGTGGACTCAACAGCTCCTGTATAAGTTTCTCCCTCTGCTTGAAGCAGCCGAGACTGCAGATAGCCTGGAGTACGTCAGGATCTATGGCCTCTGCGGAAGGTAGCACCCTGGTCTGGACTACTTCCATCATGGGCAGCTCCTGCTCCAGCTCGCCGCGACCGCCCGCCGTCACCCACGGGTGCCGCGTTATTTCTGCTAACTGAAAAAAAAAACATTATTTATGGTTGATTTTTTTTACTTTTAAAAAACATTTATCTAAATTCAGTTTTTTTTTATTTAAATTTAAATTATAGGACCGAATGATTGAATGAATTAGGTATGGTTTACACGTGTGGTCGCAAAATAATATGACTTTGTGAGTTTGACTGAGAATCGGGTTCGAGAAAAGTATACAATTGTAGATAAGTATACAATTGAGACTCTGGTTTTCAAAAAAAATCTCAGCTTAATATCGTGAATTGTATGCGATGTGAAGTATTTGGCTCAGCACCTATTACTTGGATTCATTACAGTATGTATTTATTAGGTATACTTAATACATACATACTGAGAGGTATACCTCTGCCTATCCTTTCGAGAAGTAAAGTCGTATTGGTATAATTATTACAGAAAAATTATAAGTACCATATAAACCAAAATAATTACCGTCATTCGTTTCTCGGGGTTAACTTCGATCATCCCTCGCAGCAACTGTTGGCAGTCGGGCGGCACGAAGTGGGGGACATGGAACACTCCACGTTTTACCTACAAACAAATCAACATACAATCGTCAAAAATATTGTGACTTTCTACCTACTATGAACTTGGTGATACTCTACCGTACATCCGAAATCATAGGTTAAAAAACATTATTATTACTATTATTCCATGTTCGAAATAGTTAGAAACGTTGGTACCTACAGGCTTTATGTTACTCATTATAGAACAGTGAGTATGAATGAGAGCGACGTCATGCACGATTTTAGTGGTAGGGGGCCATCCATAAATTACGTCACAACTTAAGGGGGAGGGAGGGGGTCGACGAAGTGTGACATTGTGTGACAAGGGGGAGGGAGGGATCCAAAACTTTGTGATGTCACATTTCAAAAACTAATAGTTAATCTGTGTTAAAATACGAAACATAAATGTATTAATGTTTTTTATTAAATTAATTGTTTGATTTGACATTAATATTTTTTAAAGTAATTTAAGTGAAAAAACAATAGTTTCTATACTGTAATTCTGCAAATTGTGACGTCACACTAGGGGGGGGGGGCGTCTCACAAATGTGACTAGCTGTGACAAGGACGGGGGAGGGGTATAAAAATCATGAAATTAGTGTGACGTAATTTATGGATGACCCCTAGCTAGTTCGGGGGCGTTTTCAGAGTTTAGAATTTTCAAAATAAAAACCTGCCATGGAAGTCTCGACATTGATAACAACCACAAAACTAAAATTTTATTAATAAATTTTCAACCTTATCGTTATTATACAATGTTGAATTCTATTCAATATAACGATTGGTTTTTGTCGTTATCTATGTCAAGACTCAAGACTCTAACCCCGAAAAGGTCAAAAACAAGTCAACAATTATTTTGTACTTGATAGTTTAGATTAAAAACCCAGTTCTAAATTGAATATAAATTAATTATTCTTATCTAACCAACATTATAAATAGGATTTCTTTGATTTGTTGTGACGTATTACCTACTTACGAGTTTTTGGCATGAACATAAAATTATTTACCTTTTCCAGTAATTGACGTAAATTATCATCGTCAAAGGGTAACGCTCCGACCAGCAGTGCGTATAATATTACCCCACACGACCAAACATCCGCCCGTCGACCGTCATACTTTTCCCCCTGTGAACAAACAAGTTATTAAGACAAACCTTTAAAAAACTTTCGTGGAACAGAGTCATTAAAGTTTGTAATGTTGGCAGCGTTGGATGGACTCAGTGTGGCGACGTAATGAAATGTAACCAATAAATGGGGCAATGAAAATAAATAAGTTACGTAAAATAATATTATACATAAATTAAAATGGTGTTTTAATAGTTTTTATTAAATAAATAAAATCAAAATACAGTGCATTGTTCAATACGTAAATATTTTTGATGATTTTATTGGAATATAATCATATCAGCCTTCGTTTTATATTATTTATCTATATTCATATTCAAATTTAATTGCATATCATGTGTGTACAATTGGTGTTACACGGCCACACGGGGTACAGTTTCAACATGAAACCCGGCTAGGGTACGGCAACATATAGAGCAAAATATAATCTAGTTAAACTACTACTAATCTTATTATATTATAAACATGCTGAAAAGAAATTTATGATAAAAGGTAACTTAATAATCATAATTATATTGATTGAATTTAAATAAGTATCCCGCGTCTTAAACACAACTATGTCGAGCTTATTACCATAAATTATAATGTTCAACTAACATCGCGTAAAAAGATACATTTTTTTAAAAGCATGATTTTTAATTGAAATAATGCTTTTGATTATAATTTATTCGCAAAATGTATTATTTTATATAAAAACCGAATACACTAGCTAGACATTAAAAATATTAACACATGCCATCATATTAATTTTATGGGTGTTTAATTTCTAACTGTTGCAACACTCCCAAGCCGTCAAAGTTAAAACGGCCGAATATTACCCAGCCGAATGCAACAGACACCAACTGTCAGCCGTTACGTGAGACCGACTTATACAAAACACGAAAGTTAGAAAGAGATAACAAGCGTCGCAATTTAATAATTGAATTGTTTGTAACATATTGATAATTCATGAACGACCGTTGCTTTGATTTCATCAGTCCGTTGAAAAATACAACTTGTGATAGTGTATGTGATATCAAAATACGTTAAAAATGAAATCTGCTAAATCTAAACAGAGATTAAACGACATGCGAACGCCGGCTAGGAGTAAACAAAACCTAATCGGTGAACGCGATCCTGTGCAAGTGTATTGCCGACTGCGGCCTATGCAAAGAGACTCCGATTCACCATGTATGAAGATAATATCACCTACTACGGTGCTTCTAACGCCTCCAGCAACTGCTCTAAGCTACAGAAACGAGAATGCAAAGACTATGAAGTACACATTCAAAGAGGTATTCCCGCCAGAAACGAATCAACAAGAAGTCTTCGATAAAGTCGCCTTACCCATCGTCGAAGGACTTATCAAAGGTAAAAATGGCTTATTATTTACTTATGGAGTCACGGGCAGTGGCAAAACGTTCACAATGACCGGTGAGCCACAAAATTGTGGTATTTTACCAAGATGTTTGAATATTATTTTCAAAACCATAAACGACTTTCAAGCCCACAAATATATCTTTAAACCTGATAAAATGAACATGTTCGATATTCAAACCGAGGCGGAGGCCATGTTGGAGCGGCAACAGGAGCTCCATAAATTCAAAACTGGAAGGAAGAATAATTCAAATCCAGATCTAGCCATGTCCTCCTCTGACGTCACTAAGATCGAAGGTATCAATGAAGACAACCAGTATGCAGTGTTTGTGACCTATGTAGAGATATATAACAACAGTGTCTTTGATTTACTTGAAGACGGGCCTCCAATAAGTAAGAATTTACCTGTAAAAATCATCCGTGAAGATGCAGCTCACAATATGTATGTCCATGGTGTTACTGAAGTAGAAATAAAGTCTGCAGAAGAAGCTTTCGAAGCTTTCTACCTTGGTTTGAAGCGAAAACGTATGGCACACACATCTCTGAATGCAGAATCTAGTAGAAGCCATTCCGTCTTTACTATCAGACTGGTGCAGGCACCAGTAGATGAAATGGGAGAAGCAGTGATTCAAAATAAAAAGTTCCTGAACATTAGTCAGCTGAGTTTAGTTGATTTGGCTGGCAGTGAACGCACAAACCGTACCAAGAACACAGGACAACGTCTCCGAGAAGCTGGCAACATAAATAAATCCCTCATGACTCTACGAACATGTCTAGAGGCATTGAGAGAGAACCAGATCAGCGGTACTAACAATATGGTGCCCTACAGAGAGTCGAAAATCACACATTTATTCAAGAATTTCTTTGAAGGAGAAGGCCAGGTGCGTATGGTTGTCTGCGCTAACCCAAGAGCTGAAGATTATGATGAGACTCTCCAAGTTATGAGGTTCGCGGAGATGGCTGCTGAGGTTGAAGTGGCCAAGCCTCAAATTATCGATGTAGCTGCGAACATCGGCCTCACTACGGGCCGTCGTAAAGCCAACCGGCTGTTCACAACAGCAAGAGACAATTTGTCCAGGCCAGAAGCTAAAGAATTGGAGATGGACTTGGGTCTGGTCTACAGTCTCGGACCAGACTTCCCGAGTATAGAATTGAATAGTTCTCAAGCTGCTCATATCATCAAGGAGTTGATGGCACATTTGGAAATGAGGATAAGTCGGCGAGAAGCTTTAAAACGCAGCAAAGCTATCAAAGACGAGAGACTCAGATCTGCTCTTTTGGACCTTGAAAAAGACTCTCTAGAAGTCAGGAGCGAGAACGCGTCCTTGAGAGGTCAGTTGGCTGCAGCAGAACGCAGAGTCAGAGCTTTAGAAGAACGACTGACTGCCACTGAGAATGCGTCACTTACACATCAACGCAAACTCTCAGAAATGACTGAATACACATCTTCCTTAAAGAGAGAATTACAAGAAAAAGAACTGCTACTCAGTCAAAACAAATTCGATAAAGAGAAACAGAAGAAGATTCTAGAAAGGAAATACAATCACAAAATCGCAGCAGAATACGAGAAAGCGAAAGAAATACATTCTGAGAAGGAAAGGTTGAAGAATGCTATAGAAGAGAAGGAGAACAGGCTGAGAATAATAGCAGAAGCTTTGAACCGAGGTGATAATAATGACGGATTTAATAAAATTACTGGAGAAATTGGTGCACAGACAAGTAATAGAGATTTCACTCCAGGTTCAACTCCTAGAGCATTACCAGCACATTTATTGACTCCATTCAGCTCTGTACCTCAAACTCAGACCCAAAGAGACACACCAGCGTCATCTCGTCGTGGAGTCGCCATAGCCAATCCTCGTCATCGCAGATCATTGTCCGCAGACGGCCGAGGATGGGTAGAACATGCACCAAACAAAATAGTCCCTATGGGTACTGTTATGAAGCCGAGCATCATCAACAGTAAAGTTGTTAACAAACTGACAAGTGTGAAAGACATAGCTAACTCCAGGACGTCTAAATATTGCCTTATATCCCAAGAACAGGATACAGATGGTGAATTGGAGACGAAATTGTATAAAGGAGATGTGGTGCCGACTTGCGGAGGTGGTGCCCAAGTGATCTTCAATGATGTTGAAATGTTAAAGCAGTTTTCTCCAAATAGGGAGTCTTCTCATTCTCATTCCAATCGTGTTTCTGGGACATCCTGTGCTAGGCATTCGGGTAAGCGTAGGGATACCAACCACTCTCCGCCTCAAACACCATCAAATACGAGCAAAAAACAAAGGATTGACGATGATTGATCTTCAAATGGTAAGAACCTTTGAACCATTCTCTTTTTTCTATGTTTTTGGAGTTTAGGATCTTGTTGTTATTCAAATATGATCCAATAATTCAAAAGTTCTGTCGTAATGATTTGTTTATCGTAGATTGTGTGAGATTGTCTAAATAATTTTGTTGTTATTAAGTACTGTTAAAAGTTATACTAGTTTTTCTATTAGTTAGAAGATTTCTGTCAATATAATTTGGTATTAAAGATTTCTTTTTGGTATATTTTTGTATATTTTCTTTGATTATTAATGCCTATTTAGAAAGCAGCTGAAATATTAGGCAGTGCTAAGAGAAATTGATAATATTGTAATAATTAAAATACCATTAATATAATCTAGTTCATATAACTTTATTGTCTAATATATTACTAAAATACTAACTTTGTTAAGACTTTTGATATTATGAAGTAGCTGTAGATTTGATTATTGTATAAATTAATAAAGTTTGGGGTAAAATAATTAACATTTTCCTTTCTCAAAAGATAATAGTAACCTAAAGAAAAAAAATTCGAATCCTGATGGACTAGGGTAGCTAAAAAGTTTTGATCCTAAGTAGGTGTTTTTAAGACGTATTTCTACCCTCCCGCGTGTTTTCCCTACTGTGCGACTCCTACTGAATATAAGGAGATGTTTTATAGGCGCCCTAGTACGTTATTATAAGTAAATTAATAATAGTTATTGTGTTTATTCAACTAATATTATAGTTAATACTTCTTCATCCACCCTTAGATAAAAACATGGGATTTTGTTATCATAAGTATTAAAGACATTTTTGACTGTGATCCATAGAAAATTGCTCATTTTACAAATTAATAGTTAATTATGTGCACATCTATAGCTTCCGTCTAACTCTTTGGACATAAAAGACTTGATCTTAAATATGTATAACAAAATTTTGAAAAAAAAATGTACTATTCATTCTACAGTTGGGAGCAAAGATCGGAGCCACTAACTAGTATTTGTTCTTTTTCATTTCTTGACAAATAATTTTCTGATACAAGTATTTTATTAATTGGTGACATACGTCATATAAGAGGCCATTAGTTACCTTTAAAATGAAAAAAGAAATACTTTTTTTTAAATTCCTCCCCTCTAAGTGATCTATAAAATGACAAAAGAACCGGTTGCTATTACAGAAAGAAGAAAAAATGAAAGAAACAAGCGCTAGTAGCTTCGTATCTTTGCTCCCAAATACAGTTGGACATATAATGTAATAGAAAATAATATTTTTCCTAAACTTGTTTCGTTGAGAAGTGTTTAGTAGCTTGATATCTGTATTAAAAACAATTCAAATATAGGTATGTATATGAAATGTAATAATTTTCCATTGATTATATATAAAGCACTTAAAAAGACATCGGTCATTAAAATTATTCCTTTTGTTAACTGATTATGTGAATGAAAAATAATTTTGAAAATTTAATTTTTGTTTTTTTACTATAAGTATTGTTTACAGTATATTGTGTATTGTATTGAAATTTTGTTAGTACATGCATACCTAGTCTATTTAATAAGTTGTAATATAGATCTGATTTTTTGTATATTTTACTTCATTTATTTAAGTTCTTTAAACATATCAGCGTCATCAACAGTCCACTGCTAGACTATGCGCTTCCTCTACGTAAGAGGGTTTGTCATAATCTCCACTTCAGCAGGCAGTTTGAAGACCGCAGTTTAAAGGGTTCAGGTTTATCAGATATTGCTGCTGCTTAAATGTATAGTCACTTATACTCTCACGTCATCCATGAGTAGAGATTAATTTGGTGTTTGTGTTTTAGAAACTTTAACTCTAAATAAATGAAGTAAATATCTTCTGTACAAACTGTGGTATTGAATTAAGTGGTTAATAATATTGTAATTTGACCTATTTCGAAGAAATATCGCGTTATTTATGAATCTTACTAATCACTACATAGTATAAAACAAAGTCGCTATCCGCTGTCTGTCTGTCCCTATGTATGCTTAGATCTTTAAAACTACGCAACGGATTCTGATGCGGTTTTTTTAAATAGATAGAGTGATTCTAAAGAAAGGTTTATATGTAGATCACATGCATATTAGATACAGCAGTGCGAAGCCGGGGCAGGTCGCTAGTGCCTATTATAAATGCGAACGTTTGTGACTTCATGGTTATGTTTGTTACTCAATCATGTCAAAATGGCTGAAAGGATCGGGATGATATTTAAGACAGGGGTAGGTTATAGTCTGGGGTAACACATTGGCTACTTTTTGTCCCACAGTAACGCGGGAGAAGCCGCTGGTAGGAGCTAGGGCCACAATAAATCCTGTCTTGATCAAAGTCGTAAGTGCGATTGCTGAAGACTTTCTGGCACGATTACCGGCCGTGTAATGACATTATTGCTGTACACCAAGTGGTCACCGGTGACCGCAACCTATTGTTCTATAATTGTGTCTACAAAACCGGTACTCGACGAGTTACAGAAAGCCTATGCCCACCTCTTAAAGTAATAAAATAATCTAACATCGAAGAACATGTCGTTCAAATTGTAACCGGTCTTTGAACTAACTTTTTAAATTCGAAAACAAAAGAATATAGTCACTTCGTCAGCATATTTTTAACTGCACTTTTATAGGGTGTTGGTAAATGAAACCAATTAATAAATTAAATGACTCGACTTTTTTACAACTTGGGTAATTAAAAGCGTTAAAAAAGAGGAAATCGGTAATGTTTGTATGGGGGTGATCTTTCCTGTAGGGTCATGCGGTTAAATCTGACCTTTGTTGAACTGCTTCTATGAATTCATTTGATGGTGTGCATAGTTTTACTCGATTATGTGTTTTTAATCGTGTTTTGTCTATAGTAATATTGACTATTTATTTTGAATTTGAATTCCTTTAACATGGCTACTACATTTTTGTGGGAAATTGAAGGAAAAATCATCCGATTCTTCATTTTATCGTTTATAGTGTAAAGTCCAAAAGGAAATACTATTATGGCCGTTTAGTTTATCAGTATGAGTTAATTTAAGTTCCCTGTATGACTAATATGAATTAACCCTTGTCATAAGAGTCGTAACAAACATATTTGCGCGCAGGCGGCGTTTGATGACTAGGACAAAATAATGCACACTCGCTTTTCGCAATTTGTATGCATTAGATGTAACGCGATTCGGTATTTTAGCACGATAGACCTTAACTGATATACCTAATTTCTAGTTAAATCTATTTCAAAATTAGCACTCAATTCAACCTATTACAAAAGATGAAAGATAAAGCTCAAATTACAACTTTATTACAAAATTGTATGACGTGATTCTCCTAAACAAATTCACTTAACTTTTTGTACAATCATTGTGATCCTACCATTTGTAGACACGGCGGCACGTCACGCTCAGCAACCAATATTAACTGACCCTTGAAGGTGCGGAGTGATTGTATAAAGCAAGAACATGGTAAACTGGATGTGTATGGCTTGAGGTGTAGGCTAGGTAGTATCCCACGCGATAACCACTTAATTCAATTATGACTACAGTTTTGCGTGTAATGTACTTAATTCAATAATAACGAGGATATGGGTTATAAATATTTAAACTTTGGTTTAATTTAATGTTTAACTATTTTGTCGACGCCACGTTGCTTTCGTTGTAACGTTCTTTCCCGCCAAGTTTTTGGCGCGGAATTGTACCTATTAAAAATAGTTTTCAATTGATTTTTTGTTGTTTTATTTATTTGATGCCTCTGTTTATTGGTTTGTTGGTCGACTGGTCCCGAATGTGACTGCCGAGCAAGGACTCCCGGATAGGCTAAATATTATTGTTTTCAGTAATGGCATGGCGTCAGGCATGGTGTAATAGCGTGAACTGGCTGGCTCGGCCGTAGTACTAGTAGTTATACCACGGTTTTACAGGAACCCGCGATGAGTCCACACTTATGTTATTTTTCACAGTGTATGTGAGGTTGTTCCAATGTCGTGTCCTGGCTTAGAGACTGCCTACTCATATTTTTGAGAGATTGGGCTTGGGCCTGGTGCCACCAATAACCTGTCTGCTCGTTTTCCCTCATCCCATAAACCATCTCGAAATTAAACCCGAGGCTTAAACTTATGCGACAGTCGTAGGTACTTATTGTTTGTTAAAAAATATTTCCTCGACACTAGATGTACGATTTTTTTTTATTGCTTAAGCCGGTAAACGAGCAGACTGATCACCTGATGATAATCGGCGTCGCCCATGGACACCCGAAATACCAAGGCGTTACAAGTGTGTTACCGGCCTTTATGAATTGGGAATTTGATGATTGTGGAGGATTCGGGAGACTAGGGAGGGGGTAATTGGGCCTCCGGTAACCTCACTCACACGACGAAACACAACGCAAGCGTTGTTTCACGTCGGTTTTTTGTGAGGCCGTGATATTACTCTGGTCGAGCCGGTCCATTCGTGCCGAAGCATGGCTCTCCCACACTTAAAACACACAATAAACGCTATACATAATTCAATTAGGTATAGAAATTGACAGGATACAGACAATCTGATAAATTGTTAAAACTGAGTACATGTATACATACCTAGTAGGTACCTATGTAGTGTGTACATATTTGGCGGTTAAAGTTCATTGACATTGCTATCTATTCAACCAACCCTTTTTATTAAAAAAATGTTATTTTAAGGATGCCCCGTCATCCCTAAGAACGTTCCAGCATGCTAAAGCATAGTTTCCGACAGTGTGCGCTTGCATGTAAGATACCGAGGTAACCTTTTCTTTTCCAATGCCGGCAGTGGGCGCCGGGCCTTACTCGCCACTTATACCCTTTTATACCTACTTCTACTAAGATATAAGGCGTGTAGTTAGGAGCCTTAATATTAATGTCTTAAGAATAGCGCACCGTCCTGAATAGAGATGGGCAATGGTCCTGAAGCATGCCGAAACGTCTCAATATCGTATTTCTCATCATAACAGTCTCAGAGTTGGTACAAACTAGTTGTCTGAGTTGTTGTAATATGGTGGACTGGGATCTAGTACCTACTCATAGCAGCTCTTGCTGAAGAAGAAGAGACATCTAATCAATCAGGCCGGCGGCCGAAGGATGCCGAAGTATCCCGAAGGATTCCCAAAATCTCAAGGCATATCGAAGCGGTATTTTTCTTATTACGTCCATATGCACAGTAATTTCTACTTTATTGTCATTATGTTAATGTATATTGCTATTTGCCACCTAAAATTCTCAGACGTGCTGATGCCAATAGTGGGCGCCGGGCCTAACTGTTCGAAAATTATTCCACACTAGACAATTTCGACCCTTGTAATGATTATGATGCGAGGAGGAGGATAAAGGTTGTTATTAAAAAACCGATGACCGTTGGAGTAGACGTGTTTTTTGTGGAGACTGCGTCTAGACAAACGTAGTGTGACGCGCCGTCTAGCTAGGTGGAGAGACGATATCCGCTATGCCTGGCAGTGGTTGGATGGGTAAAGCTGAAGATCTAAGTCAGTGACGTAAGTTTAGGATATCTATAGGTGATTTATCTTAGGTACTTACTCTAATAACTTCAGGGCAGGCGTAATGAGGACTGCCGCAAGATGTCTCTAGCAGCGAACCAGCCGGCTGCAGTGATGCCATCCCGAAATCAGCTATTTTTATATTATTCCGCTCGTCCAATAGTAAATTTTCAGGTTTCAGATCGCGATGGCTGAAATAAAGTAATTAAAAACGTTATTTTACAATTTCTGTATAGGTAGTTTAAAAAGTTAAGAGGGATGATACTACACAGATACTAACTACTTCAGTGTTTTAAGGTTATGAAAACTAGATGGCGCTAATAGTAACAATATTAAATACTGTGTTGTATAGGTACTGTTTTTTATTATATTTCTGTGGTTGGCTGAGTGACCGACAGTTGCAGATCATAAAAGTGCTCCCACACATCGGTTACATAACGTTAGAGATTGGCTTAAAATTTTGTTTTTAAACAAATTATAACAGTAGTAGTAAGTTGGCATGTTGTAGAGTATGTTACAGGCTATTATAAATGTTATAATTATGTGGCATAACGTATATATAACTGCTGTGTGGAAGCACCTTAACGTGGGTTCAATCTCTCGTACGTTATTAATTTATAGAACAATCTTTCACATAAGTATGAAGTCACTACTTTTGACATTGTTTGCTTGCGTTAGGAATTAACTGATTCAGCTAATATTAGTAATAGCTGTCTGTCATTGGCATTCTCATTGCACAAATGGCAGTAGTTACACACGGCTACACATCGAGCTTTATATAACCAGTATAAACTGAACGTTAAATGTGCGGAAAGATGTTGCGATGCGACACTACGATAAACTGGTTTTGTATAGATTGATGTGTGGCCGTGTGTACAAGCATACTCCTGTATATTTCGCTTTATCTACATTCATCAATCTCTTGCACTTGCTTCATACACATGCTGGTCGATTGAAGATGCTTATAATTTCGGCCTTTTTTGGGCAAAAATAAAACAAAAAAATGTGATACGTACCATATAGAATGACTATGACAGAAGTCCAGTGCGGATATGATTTGTCTAAAAAACCGGCGCGCTTCTTTGGGAGTCAGCCGGCCTTTCTTGACTAAATAGTCGAAGAGTTCACCACCACTGACATGTTCTAATACTAAATATCTGGAAAATACACGTACAAAGAATAGATTAAAATAAAAATTGTTTATTGGTGACGACAGAGTAATAGTTATGTGCCACCCCCTTGTCAAGCATGGAGATTATGGCAAACCCTCTTATGATAGAAAGCTAGCTGGCTTTTGGAACTGGGAATCAAACCTTGCTCGATTTAATTCATTTTGATTCCTTAAGTATTCTTATTTTGGAACTAGCTGTTTCCCACGACTTCGTCTGCGTATAAAATCAATTTTTGATGTTTAAATTTTCCAAAATAAAAGTACTTAGCCTATGTTACTCTTTACTACATCCCCTATCTGCTAATAAATGTCTTGCAAAATTGGTCCAGCCATTTCAGAGATTAGCTAGTACAAACAAACATACAGACAAACATTGTAAAAAATATTATTTTGGTATGTGTATCGTATGTATATTCATATACATGTAGTAAAAAACGGTAATCTTAATATTACAAACAGACACTTCAACTTTATTTATCTATATATAAATGATGCATAATTTAAATACTCACAAATATTTCTTATTCTCGTAAACATCGGACAGTCCTAACACGTGGGGGTGCTCTATCAATTTCATAATTGCTATTTCTCTTTCCACCTGAAAAAATAAGAAAATTGTATTAGCTCAAATGAAAAAGCGATCATTTATAAAAGGGTAGATGACTAATTTTTATTTTTATGTCCGTCTGGTAGATTCTTTTAAAACATTAGACACGTATTTTTTATTTTTTACAGAAACGAATACTTTCGACGATATATTGATTTGAAATGTCACTTCTATGTATATTTTAAACGTAGAAATGACGTTTTAGCCCCCACTTCTAAACTTTGATTCGTTATAAGTATTTAGGTATCATTTTATTATACAACAAAATAAAACAATACATGTCTAATATTTTTTCATTACCTAACTGACGGACTAATTAAATTTTCATATCCTGTCATCATCCCTATTCAGTATATTTTGTTTAAAGTATTGATTAAAAGATGGCGCTGTTTACAGTTTGTTCAGTGGTTAGAGAGCCAACTAATCTATGTATGATGTACATGTCGCGGTTTCGGTTCAAGTACGAAAAGTAATTACTTTTGTGGTCCGCGAATTTATTCAAAGTCGAGTTGCGATTGTGATGTGCATTTTAAACTGTATTATGTAGTTACATGCATCCATTATAAGAGAGCGTTTGAAGAAAAAAAATACTGAAATAAACAAATAAACGACTATGAGCTTAAAAAAATGTCTTACCTTCATCAGTACAGATTCGCTAAGTTTCTCCCGGTTGATGATTTTGATGGCTACCTTCTTGCCGGTGACGCAGTGCACACCCAACTTCACCAGACCTGAAATCGTTAGATATGGGGATTAATCTTTATAATAGGTAACCATTGAATAAATAGTTGAAGAAGAGTCGTAACGCCAACAAGTTACGCCTAATAGGCACAACTGGATACTTTCCATAATCAAAAATAAATTATTTAAACTGTTCAATACCTACAATAAAATATCTATTAAATAATAATCACACTTTCATTAATTGATTTTATAACCAACGTCTTTTTATTAGTTTTTCAACAATTTTTAAAAAAAATAATGCTGTCTGACGCTAAAAAAACGTGACGTCACAATACACAATCTCGTATAAAATTCATAGAAAACTGACGTTTTTGACAGTTCGAAAAAAGTATTGAATTTGACTAGTTGGCAAGTACACAATAGGCAAAAACCGATACCCCCTATATCTACTAGCGAGCCAGTCAGATTATTTCTAACATAACATAACATCACGCCTTTTATCCCCGAGAAGGGGTAGGCAGAGGTGCACACAGAAGTAACACCCACTTTTCACTAATTATGATAGGAGTCCCATGGTGAGTTTGTTGCCATATACCGGGCACATTTCCAGACTCCGTGCTACTACTGAGATTTTTTAAAACCCAATAATCCTTTGCCCAACCTGGGAATCGAACCCGAGACCCCTTGCCCGGTAGCTTCACACTTGCGACCACTCTGCCAAAGAGGCAGTCTATTTCTATTTTGTCAGATTAATTCTAATTTGCCGTTCATGTCAATCGTAGGCATAAAGCAAAATATAAGGGATTTATAGGATGACTGCAGAAATATTTATTGTTTCACAGTCATACGCGATGCTTTACCGCGACCCCGACTCAGAGCAGGAGTCGGAACGGAGTGGTGTTTAGACAATAAGAGTTTGACACTCTCTCGTCTCACCTGGAGCGGGAGAAGTAATTTCATCCACCCATACAAAAAGGGTTTTTAAGTAGATTCTCGGCTCGACCGGAGTGATACCACGGCCTCACAGAAAACCATAGTGAAATAACGCTTGCGTTGTGTTTCGTTGTATTAGTGAGGTTACCGGAGACCCAATTATCCTCCCCCCCCTCCCCAGACTCCCCAACCCCCGAATCCTCCACAATCCTCAAATTCCCAATTCCCAAAAGGCCGGTATCGCACTTGTAACGCCTTGGTGTTCCAAGTGTCGATAGGCGACGCCGATTGCTTACCATCAGGTGATCCGTTTGCTCGTTTACCGGCTTACCTTCGCCATAAAAAAGGGAGGTACGTAGGTATATAGAGTATCTAATGTAACCTATGTTAACCTAGTAGTATATAAAAATAGTAGTATGTAACCTTGGAATGAGCAAATAGTGTCGCTTTTATTTATTTTTTTGTTGACGTTTATAAGTGCCTTCCTGGTCTAATTAAAATAAATGATTTTGACTTTGACTTAGGTACGTATCTATAATATCTAGTTTGTGATAGAGAGAAATTAAAACTTCTCACGGATACGTTTGTTCACAATTTACATTTTAGATTTAGTGCGAAACTGGGGTTTAGTTTCAACATTTCCTGTACGACTTTAGAGCTGTTAATACCTCCCACAAAGAAATTTTTTTTTACATAACATTACGTGTAAATATATCTTAATTCCTTAATTC